AAAAAAAAAAAAAAAAGAACTTATCATATTGCTCCATACAATTTTTTTTACACATACGTTACAAAGCTTACAAAGCACAATAAGATTGTATTGAACTTTCACTAGGAAAATCTCAGATTGTTAATCTATACTTGTATTAAAAGTCATTCTATTTACCAAAAATAGTAGCAAGCAAAGTCAACTCACATTTAATGATACTTTATTTGGAAATTTTTTACTATATGCATTAATTGTTTGCATATACACATTTCCTATTCAAATATGATCAAAAAGATTATTTCCTTAAATAATTTTATTAACTTCTGCAATTACTTATATATATATTATAATTCATATTTGACGATTGCATTTTTTAATTTTTATTTGAGTATATAAAAAATATTTTTTTTTTAAATTAATATTTTATTTATCATTTAATAGATAATGATCACATCATTAAATGATATTACTGATGGCTAGATAAAAAATTAAAATACATTAATTATTCTTTAAAATTTTGGCATGTTATTTATTTGTATATCTATACTTATTATATAAGGTATCCTTTTTACCATATTAAGTAGATTGAAAAGTCAACGTAATTAATGCATTACTATTTCTCTCCAGAATTTTATTTAATTATTTTATTTATTTATTTTATATCCCATAAAATCAGTTTAAGAAAAAAAAATCCCATAACATCTGACAAGTAAAAAAAAAGACGTAAAACTTTACCAAAATAAAAAGACTTTATTTATTTGTCTTATTTCATATTAACATCGATTTTGTCAAAACAAATTCCATAAGACCAGTGAAGTCAAAATTTGTACGTAAAGTCTATCTATACTTAAAAAAAAAAAGTCAGATTCATAATTCTTTATCTAATTCATTCTTTTTCTTATCTAATTCATTATTTTCCTTATCCAATTCCTTTTTATTATCTAATTGTATGAAAATTTGTTCTGATTTTGTTCAATCCTCTAATTGTATTTGTATTATTCCATAAAATTGGTTTAACAAAAAAAATCTCATAACATCCAATAAGTAAAAAAAACACAGTACGTAAAATATTTACAAAAATAAAAAAAGACTTTATTTATTATCTAATTTATTATCTAATTGTATGGAAATCTATTCTGATTTTATGGTACGTACTACAAATTGGGCACCCGTGTTCAGGAGCTATTTAACGGGCAAGATATGTGAAAGTGACTCATTTAGTTCTTATGTCCCGTGCATACGATATGTATTTTTATTACACATACTAGAAAATTGTGCACCCCGTGCATCACACGGGCTCTGTACTAATAAATGACATTAAAATTGTGCACCCCGTGCATCACCCATGTTCACATTTTGGCCTATTACATGTCACGTACTATATATATCCCGTACATTTTTTTAATTCATTTATATAATTATAAGACTCGATAAATGACCTTAAAATTGTACACCTCGTGCATCGCACGGGCTCTGTACTAGTTTGTAGAGTAGGTGTTTGTATTAGTTTTGATCAGTTTTGTTATGGAGCTATCGGATGGCTCGGCTTATGGAGCAATCCATACTTAATCACCAATAGTGCATTGACATGTGTCCTACAGTAAATACAATTTAGACAGATATCACTATATTAAGTGATGGATGGCTTCATAAGAAAACAATCCGATGGCTCCATAGAATTTTTGTAGTTTTGATGGTACATAACTAAAAAAAATAAACTTATCTTATTCACTGACATGACAAAGATCCTAACACCAAATTATTCAGAACATCAAGAAAAAATGAACCAAATAAAACAAGACGAAAAAAAGTTTCTTCATCACAACACCCCTAAAGAAAAAAACACGATGAAAAATCTATAAGTAAAAACATCTCATCAGTTCCGACTTGTTTCCATCTCGACGCCGTCGTTTTTGTCGTTATAGTCCTCGTTTTCCCCCGACATTTCCTCGAGCGACTTCCCCTTAGATTCCGGCACCAAAAAGGTGAACAAAAGCCCCAACAAATTCACAACACCCAACAGTATCAACGCGTTCTTCACCCCGATTCCAGCCGGGTAACCCGAATCCGTCTTCGTCGGGTCCGGATTCTGCGCCAGGTACAAAAACCCGAAAGCCCCGACTATCGCCCCGAGCTTCCCCGCAGCCGCCGATATCCCGTGACACGTCGACCGGAGCCTCGCCGGAAATATCTCTGCCGGCACCACAAAAGTCGTCGCGTTCGGCCCGAAATTCGCAAAGAAGAACGTCAACGAGTACATCACCACAAACCCGATCCGATTATCCGGCTTCGTCCAATGATTATACGGAAACGCCAACGCAAACATGAAAACCGTCATGAAGAAAAACCCGATCAGTTGTATCGCGAACCGGCCGATCACATCTATCAAAGCCACCGTGAACCAATATCCCGGGACGGTGCTGCATAGCGCGATCAACGTCTGCGCCCGAGCGATCGTGAACACCTCCCGAACGGCACTCATCGTGCTCGCGCTCGGAATCCACCCGATCGCGCTGAATATATCCTTCTGAAACAGATTCTGGCTGTAGAAAGCAATGTCGAGCAAGAACCACGTGCTCGTTGTCCCGAGCAAGTGAAGCCCGTGCCTCGAGAGAAACTCCCGGGAAAAAAGCCCAAAACCCGGTTTCTTCTCTTCGACTTTCACCGGCTCGGCCTCGATATCCATGTTGAGCACCTTCGACATGTCAGACGCAGCTTGTTTGGCGTTCTTCGCCACGAGCGCCGTGTAACGAGCGGTCTCGGGCATTTTCATCCTCGAGTAGAACGTGGCGAGCGCCGGGACGGCGCCGAACATTAGAATGATCCTCCAAAGGTAGTCGGCTTCCGGAGGGGTCGACCCGACCGGGTCAACCCTGTAAGACGGGGCCGGGTACCAGGCCTCGAAAACGGCCGACATCAACATTCCGAAAATGCCCCCGGCGAGAATCCCGAACCCTTGCATCGCGAAAACGGCGGCTATGAACGCGCCGCGAGTCTTCTTATTGGCGTACTCGGACATGATCGTGGCGGAAAGGGGGTAATCGCCGCCGATCCCGAAACCGAGCCAGAATCGGAAGAAGCAGAGAGTGGCCATTACGGATTTTGGTTGGGAACCGAACGAGAGGCCGGAGGCAATCGAGCAGGCGCACATTAGGGCTAGGGTTGCGCCGTAGACTTTTTTGCGGCCGAGCTTGTCGCCGAGCCAGCCGAAGAAGAGCTGACCGGCAAGGGTTCCGACGAGGGCGACGCCATTAACTGCGGCGGAGACGTTCGGGGGGAGGGAGCCTGGTTTGGGGGAGCCCGGGACGTGGTAGTAGATTCGGCCCAGCATTTTGGTGACGAGAGAGATGCAGAAAAGGTCGTATGCATCGGTGAAGAAGCCCATACCGGCGATGATGATGGCCGTGAAGTGGTACCATTGGGTTTTCGCCACGTCGAGGGCGTTTAGGACCTTTAGGTTGTTGTTGGTGTCCGCCATTTTTTCCGTGCGCTTCGAAAATCGATCTGCTGGTCCCTCTCTCTGTGTCTGGAAAAGGGAGAAATTTGTGGAATTAAGAAACAACTTTAAGAGATCAGGAGATCTGGAATTATGACTGTCATAACATAATAAACACACACAAGATTCTGCCCGTACATAATGATCTAACGGTTATAAATCCCGACGGAAGGATAAGTTTAGAATTTTAACAAGAAAAACACAAGATGAGACAAAATCTATATATAACATAAACATAAGCAAAACAAAAACAGAGGAATTGGAATTGGTAAAAACATGGTTATGTGATACAATTAATTATTCAAGAAAAACAAAATACAAAATAACTCGAACAGATGACGGACCTGCTTTTATCAGGCAGACGAGGAATTAAAGAAAAAATTAGAGAGAGGTTTGTGATTAATAATCGTAATTAATCTCTAAGGGAGATTTATATATATATATATTATATATATATGGTGTTGGGCCATATGGCATCTTCGCAGGTATATTCCCTTCTTTTTCGGTTGATCATCTGGCGCCGGTCAAATTTTTCCCATGTTTTTCTCCTATTTTATTATCTTTAACTTTATTTTATTTTCTTTTTTTGGGATTAAATTCGTGATTTAAATAAAATTATTTGGATTGCTTAATGTTATTATGTAAATATAACTTTGGATATAGTATAGGCGAAATAGAATTCTATTATAAATGTGCTACTTTTGTGGGGCATATGCCAGAATATTCTTATGAAGTTCTATATCTTTTTGTACACTTTGAGCGTGATTAGATAGGAATATCTAATTTATCAGGTTTAGGAAAAAAAAAAAAATTACACATTTTTTAATTAAAAATTTAACTTTCATTGAAGTTATATTCTCTCAGTATTATATATAATTAAATAATATTATCATATATCATATCAATTCTAATTAATCATCACTTTTAATTATTATATTTTAAATTATATTTAAATACAAAATCGAAATCTCACTCAAACTTCAACTCATTTAACTTTTTTTTGTTTAAAATAATAAATTAACTTATTTTTGCAATAAATCCAAACATAACAAAAATATTTTATATCCAATCACCTTAATGCTGGATTGCTTAAATACATGTTATTTTTTGTACCCAAAAAAAAAAAAAATATGTTATTTCTACTTCAAATTGCACCATAATCACCTTAATGCGGATTGCTTTGATTGACAATTGTTGTATATACTGTTGGATTCTTCATAACTACTATATTGGAAAACTTATGGCCCCGTTTGGAAGATAGCGGATTGAGGATAAATTAGCGGATTGGACTTAATTGAGAGGTTTGACCCGTCAAATCCGCTATTGAGCTTGTTTGGTAAATAGCTTATTTGATAAGCTTTTTAGGCCCAAAACTCTAATTTAGAAAAAGCTCATTAGAGGAGCTTTTTGGGGATAGAGGATTCACAATCTACAATTTTAATTTAGAACTTTTTAATTTGTATTATTTATTTTACAATCTACATTGGTTTATGATGCTAACAAATAATAATATGTCATCTATATGATTAATTTATCTAGAAAAATGTAAAATTCTTAACTTTTTGATCAATTGTTAGTAATTTTTTTTTTAAAAAAAATAGATATTTATAAATTACCAACTAAAAAATATTAAATGTTTTTATATATTATTATTAAAAGAAAACACCCTAAATAATAAAATGTCTTTATTGGTAATTTGCAATGTCAAGTAGCTATAAGCTTTCAGCTATTTACCAAACACTTATTTAAAAACCGCTAATGCAATCCGCTAGTCAAATCAACTAATATAATCCGCTATCCGCTATCCGCTAATACAATCCGCCATCCGCTATCCGCTATCCGCTGATCGCCAAACAAGGCCTATGTTTTATAAAAACCCAACAACTAGATCTCTAATCAATTAATATATAATTAATAAAAAAAATACCAAGTAAAATTGATATATGAGTTTAGAATACCCAAGTTGGTTAAAATAAAGCTTATACTATTAAAAAAAAAAAAATCAGATTATAAATATATTCAGATTTATAAGTTTAAAAATGATAAGCCCCTTAGGCTATGTTTAGTAAAACTAGCTGATAAGCTAGCTTATAGCTTATCAGTAATTTTTTAGCTTATAGCTTATAGCTTATGACTTATAGCTGATAAGCTAGCTTGTATGATTAAAGTGTTTGGAAAAATTAGTTGATAAACTAGCTGAATAAAAAAATCAACTAACTTATTTGAAAAGCTACCTAATGAAGCTTATCAAATAAGCTCGAGCTTTTTAAATAAGTAACAATTATATATTTGGGCTTTTATTATTAGTTCTGTATTAGGCTTTATGTTTGTAAGTATTGGGCCTTCTTTATTATGTGTATATTGTACCAGCCCAATAGCTTTATGATGCCTTAGTATAAAAGGCAACATCTAGGGTTTGGAAGAAACAAGTTGTATTTTTCATTTTCTGAAATCGCAGTCTATTTTTCTTTGTTGTTCATCTCAGAACACACTTTGTTCATAATTCTCAATGAATCACTCATATTATGGTATCAATCGCTCAGATTTTATCGATCCCTGTTGATATTGTTCCGCTGCTTCAGATATTTCCGATTTTTCTGTTTTGAAATCTCGATCGACGTTTGGGTCTGTAGATCTGGTTCTCATAACCCTAGATCTGCGCTTTCAAGCTTTACGATTTGAGTTTTTCGCTCTCGATCGAAGATTACTATGGCTACCACAGCACCGCCAACAGATGATCCGTCATCACCTTATTTTCTACATCCGAGTGATAATCCAGGCGCACTGATCGTCGCTGAGACCTTTAATGGCGAAAACTATGTTTCCTGGTCACGAGAAATTCTCATGGCTCTCAGTGTTAAGAATAAAGCCGGTTTCATAGATGGTACCGTCTCTGTCCCTTCTCTTACTCAATCCCCTATTGAATCTCTTGCATGGGTCAGGGCAAATAATCTGGGTACTTTCATGGCTGCTTAACTCTGTTTCTAAGGAAATTCATCAATCATTGCTTTTCTTTACTACTGCTAAAGATGTTTGGGATGAAATTAAATCTCGTTATGCATTGAGTAGTGGTCCTAGGGTTTTCCAACTCGAAAAATCCCTCAGTTCTATGGACCAGGGTTCACTATCTGTGACTCAATATTATAACTCATTCAAATCTCTGTGGGATGAATACATTACATATCGTCCTGTCATTCGTTGTACCTGTGGTGCTTGCAATTCTTGTACCTGCAATATTTTTGAAGCTATGTCCAATGCTCAGCAGTCTGATTCTGTTATGAAGTTCCTGATTGGTCTTAATGAATCATATTCTTCCTTGAGAAATCATTTTCTATTGTCTGCTCCTCTGCCCTCTCTATCCAAAGTTTATTCACTTTTGCTTCAAGAGGAGAGTCAAAGAAATTTACATGTTCCTAACAAAAATGCTGACCATCTAGCCATGCTTCTCAAAACCTCTAACTCTCAGACCAAATATCCTCCTTCTCAACCAAAATCCCACACATTTTCCAAAGACAAGAAAAAGCTCAAATGTCAACACTGTGGTTTCAATAATCATTCTTCTGAGAGGTGTTATCAAGTTATTGGTTATCCACCACACTGGGTAGGTCCTAAGGGTCCCAGAATCCACCCCTCTCATACTTCTGTTAACTCTGTTTCATCCATACAACCTAACCAAGCACCTCCATCCATTGAAAACAACAATCCCAACATTACTGATGATCTATTTCATGAGTTTATTGAATTCAAGAGGTCACAGACTCTAAAACAGACCACATCTAATCCAACTGCCTCTCAGTCACCTCTTGTTGCTACTGTATATACTCCATCCACCTCTGCAGGTAATCTTCATTTCTCATGTTCTGCTCATACACACTTTGATAAACAAACCTGGATTCTTGATACTGGTGCAACAGATCACATGATATGTGATAAGTCCTTATATTCTTATACTCCTACACCTGTTACTATTCAAGTTAATTTACCTAATGGACAACATACTTCTGCAAGCCATGTGGGACAGATTAATCTGGGGCCTAATCTTGTGCTGCAGAATGTATTGTTTGTTCCTACTTTTGGTTTTAATCTTATATCTGTGTCTAAGCTGACATCTACAAATAATTGTGTTGTGAATTTTCTGTCATCTTATTGCATATTACAGGACATCAGCACCAACAAAATGATTGGTTTTGCTGAAGCTAAGCATGGTTTATATCATTTGTCCTTAAATTTTCATAACCATGTT